CCTTTGTTCAACACACAATATGGATCACTCTAAGCACTTACTATTTAACAAAACTGAATCTGTACCATGTAGAAAAGCCAGAAGAGGTTTCAAAATGTGTTTTGTTATCAATATAATGCCATGCATAAGTGGATAGTTTATAGTAGCTCACTGTTAACAGAGCAGAGTAAAAAAATTTAAAAAGTTAAAAGGCCTCATATGGTTGGTGAGAAAAGGCAAAAATCTTTTTTTGTGTTATTTCCCTTTTTGGTTGCTGGGCAGACTCTTCTGCAACAGAGGATATGATAACTGCAAGAGAAAAAAATGAAAAGTGTAGTCTTTACAACTAAAAAATGTCAACTTATGCTCAAGCACAATTAAAGAGCACAGTCTCTCACTCTGATGGTCACATAATTAATAAAATTTCTAATGATAACATAATTTACACTATAATTATAAAAAGGAGTTCATCTTATTAGAAAGTTGCTTGGGTTTAGAATGGCAACAACTCAAGTAAAAGCCAAGTTTTAGAGTACATTAACCTAGATATTTGTATTATTGATATTCCCGTTTACTTTCAGCCCATTAAGGATATAAAATTACTGTTATTCTTATTATTTTTTGAGACAAAGTCTCACTCTTTCACCCAGGCTAGAGAGCAGTGGTGCGATCTTGGCTTACTGAAACCTTCGCCTCATGGGTTCAAGCGATTCTCCTTTCTCAGCCTTCTGAGTAGCTGGGTCCATAGGTGTATGCTACCACGCCTGGCTAATTTTTGTACTTTAGTAGAGACAGGGTTTCACCATATTGGCCAGGCTAGTCTCAAACTCCTGACCTCATGATCCACCCGCCTTGGCCTCCCAAAGTGCCAGGATTACAGGCATTAGCCACTGTGCCCGGCCTAAAATTGTTTTTTTCTATGTTTCCCCATTACGGTATGTCAAAACTTATGGACTCGAGGCTGTTATGCATACTTAAGTTATAGTCTAAGTTCCTGGGTAGAGAGGAGCTATAAAAATCTAGAACAAAGAGCCATTACTACTCAGTGATCAAATCATTAACTATACACTTTAGTGCCATAAAGTATTTTTCTGATCTTTACAGAATGTTTTAAAAGCTGAAAAATAATGGGCTTTTTCAGCTTTTATAATTCAAACATTACTTTCAAAATTTATAACGCTCACTGAACTAATCACATTAATGGTGGAATTACATTCATTTGTTCTAAGTATTTAAGTTTGAACATAACAGTCATGATGATTTTAAAAGTGAACATATTTAAGTTAGAGGCAATGTAGTATCCTAACATTTCCACCAAAATATTTTCTACTGTTGGTGGAAGAAAGATGTGAGAGTACTCTATGATTATGGAAACTCTAGAAAGGTAAGAAGAGATTTAATCAAATTCATATAAGTACAGAGAAGACTGAGTAAATTATACCAGGAGGACTTTAATATAGCAGAACTTTCTGACCATAAGGGAGGTGAAAAACTACAAAGTACTATGTTTTCATTTGAGATGAAAAACAACACAGACAATTCTCCATTTAGATGTAGTATTACCTAGAAAAGGAGAAATGGCTTAGATAAGATTCCCATGTTTCCTTCACTAACATGTAGAAGAAAAAAGACAGAAAAATGAAACTAGATCTAGAGCACTCTCTATGTAAAACCCTCAGCCTGTTTACCTGAGTCCTTTGGGTACTCAGTAGTTTTGAACAGCTGAGCTTTCTGGTAAACTATGTGTTTATCATTCTAAGAATTAAAATTTGGATAAAAATATCTACTAAAATATATTTAAATTCTCTTATCTTTTTTCTTCTCTTTAGTATTTTTTCTAAATATTATGAAAGTCGTTCAAACTTACTATAGAAATTAAAAAGAAAAAGAAACAGCCATAATTCTGCCACCCAGAAACAACCAGTTAACATTTTTTCCCAGTTTCTTTAGCAGAGTATACAGCACGTAATTCAGTATTATAAAATAATGGGGTCTTCAGTCTATAAAACTATTTTAATAATGGTAAACATTTATTGAGTTCTTTGTAAAGCCTGGTACTATGTTAAACATTCAATATACATGGTCTCATTTAGTCCTTATAAGCCAATGTAGTAGGTAATCCTATATTCCTATTTTAGAGATTAAACAAATAAAAGGCTTGGAGAATTTATCAAGCATCCATAATAAGCTACAGAACCTAAATTCAAATCTTTTGTCCAACCCTGAAGACTTACCTCTTAACCTTTTCATAAGATTAAAATGCTAAAAGGACACATACTGTTATGAATTTTAAGGGCTCCTACACATGCATCCTTTATACACAGCCTTCATGATTTTTCAAACCATGTCAGATTCTCATTTTTCAATTCTCCAGATACAGCATCTTCTTATAGCATCTTTACTACCTTTCCTGTTTACTGTCTTAAATGGGACCAATCTCAGAAACATCAATAACAAAATAAGCTTGTTGACATTTTGTGAAACATTTAAGGAGACTTCCAAGGAATGTAACATATGTAGACTTTGTGACACATACATTGGCATGTGCTCACAGCCCTGTTCTGAGATGAGAAGTTATTATTTTGGCTTTGAGACATGAAGGATATGACATTTAAGTCTAAACATGCACCAGCCACTCTTGAAAAATCAGCACACTCATAATCCAAAATGCTCCAAGAGAAATTTAGATATAGAGGTGCATTACTCAGAGTCAAGAAACTATGGGTTATACTGGAGAGTAAAACAGTGACTATCGCTACAGAAAATTATGTTCATATGCAAGCTATAACAAATATTAAATGTTATATAAAACAAACAACAGAGGGGAGTCCACATGGATGTGGAATGTTTGTGCAAAAAAAAGGAAAAAGCTCATTCAATGGCTTGTACTAAAAGACGAGCTCTAGATTCTAAAAGAAGGTAGGCAAACTGCTCCCAACTCACCCTGGTCCCAAAAAGTGAAGAAGGTAGAACATCACAGAAGGAATAATGGAGTACAGTGAAAGGAGGACAAGGGAAGTTGATAAAAATTAAAAAAAAATTAGCACATGTTTTCTTGTTTTAATTGGGGTAAGAACAGTGGGCACAGAGATGGGAGATAGGTTGTTCTGAGGAGACAAAGGGTTATTGTTTCAGTCTTGGCTGAGGTCAGCCATGTTTATCTTCCATTGAATGTGGACAAATAAAAGGCTTCACAGAGGTATTTTTTTTTATTATATAAGCTTTGCAGGCATGTTGCTTTTAAAACCAATGACATATTCTACTAATCCATGTAATAGATAAAGCATCCCCTTTGTTTGTGAGGTTGAATATATGACAGCTTCACTAATCAAGTTGTCACTATAATTAAAAATTATTTCAGATTATAGTTTGCTGACATCTAATATAGTTTTTTGTTTTTTTGTTTTGTTTTTGTTCTTTTTTTTTTTTTACAACTGTAGAACATACACCTATAGGAAAAGGCTAGCCTAGATGCCGGAGCCATTTCAAGTATGCTTTTCTTCCACTGGCCTATTCCCTGCTAGGCTCTCTCTTCTCTAAAGAGATTGCAACATGGTATCACTGACCTGAAAATCCCTAATTCTTAGGAAGTAAAGTATTGACAAAGTCTGGAGTGCAGTTTAGAATCTGGTTGCCTCTACAGCCCTTTCTAGGTTATTCCATAAAGGTAAGACTCTCAGGATAAGACCTTAGATACAGTTAAGACTGAACCCTCATTTCCACCCTTCCATACAATTCTTTTCCCTAAGTCAGCCTCTGTGTCTCCGCAATCTCTCAGGCTAACCTGACAAATCAGCACCTGAGTTTTTCAGGCCAAAAGTTTTTGGTTCCTTACTAAAAAATAAAAAAAAACATAAATCAAGTTTGTAAGGGAGAAGGGACATTTGTTTATAATGTAGTAAGCATGGCCTTTCTTCCCTCATCATAGTTTATTCAAATTTTAAAAAGTGACTATAATTTGTATCTGGGACAATCAGGAATTGATTATATTTCTCTGCATCCATTATTTATGACAGGGCCGGGCACAGTGGCTCAGGACTGTAATCCCAGCACTTTGGGAGGCTGAGGCGGGCCGATTACGAGGTCAAGAGATCAAGACCATCCTGGCAAACATGGTGAAACCCTGTCTCTACTAAAAGTGCAAAAATTAGCCGGGTGTAGTGGTGGCACACGCCGGTAATCCCAGCTACTTGGGAGGCTAAGGCGGGAGAATCACTTGAACTCAGGAAGCAGACGTGGCAGTGAGCCAAGATCATGCCACTGTACTCCATCCTGGTGACAAAGCAAGACTCCATCTCAAAAAAGAAACTGTAAATGACAGTGTGTCTCTTAGATGCTTTGGGTATGGTGGAAGAAATTAGTCCTTGACACAATATATGACTACACAAATTTGAGTACCATTTAAGCCAGTTAACCATGATCACTCAAACTTAGGCAATATGGTAAATACTTATCATCTTCACAAAGAAAAATGAATAAACTACCTGCAACAATATAGCATTAAACATCATATTGATGTTCAATATTCTGTGGCTACTAACATTGTGGGGTGTTTTAAAAGTCAAAAATACTGAACTGTTTAGAAAATTCTGCATAGTAATAGTATTACACTATGAATTTTATTTTCAAATTTTATCAATAAAGAGGAAAATAATACAGTTAAGCAGTCAAAAGAAGTAGCAAAGCCAGGATAGTCATTCATATATACAGAAGATATAGATTCATTTCTAGCTGATTCAATCCTATTATCATATTTAAAATACAAAATAATGGCCACTCACTCAATAATTCCATTGTTAGAGCATGAGACTTAAAATATAAAATACATCTTAATCTGTCAAGACGACCACAGTTAGCACCAAGAAAGGAACTTTACTTTAGCTTCTGATGATGACCTCAGTATCTTGGAATAGATACTGAGGAGTCTAGATGTATTTATCATCATCAATTAATAAAAAAATAATTTTGAAAAGTAATCGCTATATATCATCAATTCATAAGTGATTCAAAGGGATTCAAACCTTAAAATTGGCACTACTTGATGTTGCGAACAACTCTCCTACAGTGGTTTGTCTTCACCTCTTCCAATGCTTGTTCCAGTTGTTGAACCAAATGGAGCAGAGTGGCTGGGTCTGTTTGTAGAACTTTGGTGTTGTGATCTCCATTTTGATTAAGGTGTAGCTTTATAGTCACTGCTGGTTTAATCTGTTGCCTGAGACTTCTACTTGCAAGCTTGATTTTAAAGGAAAGAAGAGCACAGTAACTATTTAATAACCATGTGGAATATATTATTTATAATTATCTTAAACCATATACAAAATTAATCTTCAGATGAATTATAGACTTCAAAATGAAAAGTAAACTTTAAAATCTTTGAAAAGAAAATAATAAGAATATAAAAACAATTTTATGGTATGGAAAGATTTCTTAAACATGATATAAAAGGTTTAAACCATTAAGATAAAACTGATAAACTTAACTACATTAAAAATCAATTTTCTTCAAAGGATACCTAAAGATGGTGAAAAAACAAGTCATAAACCAAGAGAAGATATTTTGCAACACACATATAACCAAAAAAAGATTAGTATCCAGAATGTGTGATGAACTCCTCTGATTTAATAAGAAAAAATCTCAAAACTCAAGATAAAAATACAAAGATCTAAATTTTTATAGAAGATCTAAATTTTTATATGAATTTTAATAAATGAATTTTTATTCATTTTACAGAAGACAAATGAATAAACATAGAAAAATATGTTCAACTTTATTAATCATCAGGATAATAGCCAGTAAACCACATGAAATACCATTTTACAAATATCTGACTAGCAAAAATTAAAAACCTGTCTATACCAAGCACTGCAAGTGGCAGTAATGGGAACTCTCATCCAAGGCTTGTAAGGGATGAGAAAACCACTTTGGAAAACAATATGCATTACCAGCAATCTACTCCTAAGCATATACCTTAAAGTCTTACACATATACATTTATTCCTGATAGTGTATTTCCAAAAACTAAAAATTAGAAATACCTCAAATATTCATTAACAACAGAAGGAATAAACCAAGAATAATCACACAATGAATGGCTTACTCAATAGAAGAGAAAAGAAATGAATTACAGCAACATGGGTTATCACAGAAGAAACTAAAAAGAAAATGATGAAAAAAAGCAAGTCACAGAATATGTGCAAGCTTAAAAAATATACAGTTTAGTGACAAAATTTATGTTTAAAAAAACTATAAAGAAAAGATTAGGGGCTGGGCGCAGTGGCTTATGCCTATAATCCCAGCACTTCGGGAGGCCAAGGCAGGTGGATCACGAGGTCAGGAGTTCAAGACCAGCCTGGCCAACAAAGTGAAACCCCGTCTCTACTAAAAATACAAAAAGTAGCTGAGCATGGTGGTGCATACCTGCAGTGCCAGCTACTTGGGAGGCTGAGGCAGAAGAATTGCTTGAGCCCGGAAGGCAGAGGTTGTGGTGAGCTGAGATCACGCCACTATACTCCAACCTGGGCAACAGAGTGAGACTCTGTCACCGGGAAAAAAAAAAAAAGAAATAAATGATTGACAGAAAATTCAGGATAATGGTTTCCTCCAGGTGGCTGGGAGATGGTTACAACTGAGGGATTGTACAGTTCTTCAGAGGTATTCGTTTTATTTGCTAAGCTTGGTGGTGGGTGTACTGGTATTTGTTTTATCATTATTCTTTAAACTGAGTATCTATAACCTTTCATTTGTATAATATATACCAAAATTTAAAAAATAAGTACTACTGACATATTTTTAAAAGAAAAAACCCAAAACTATAAACAATGACCAACTTGAAGGTCCTTTCAGTCTTTAGAGTCTCCACTAAAAGGAACCAGAACTATCCAAAGCAATAGCTGATTTGAAGTCTAGGAGAGAAACTATACAAGATGAGCCTGAAACATCCTGTTTTAGGAGACAGCAAAAAAGTCATCAAAAATAGTGGAGTCATGTCAAGAAGACTAGATTCCAACCTGAAGAGATTTTCAAGTGAATAATAAATCTAAACCTGAGATTTCAGGAAAAATTTAATTCCATAACATAAAATATTTTGACAAATAACTTCTTCCAAATAATTCTAGGTAACTTGGGCTTCCAAAAGAACCCAAGATACTGATCCAAGGCTGAAATTTAATGTCCCAAAATAATTTACAAACAATAGGTCAATCCCTTTGGGTGACCTAGTCCTAAACGTAAAATAGGTACTTGCAAGCTGAAGTACCAGTTTAAGATAATCTCTGTAGTACAGATAATTATAGATTATGACATATATGCAAACTATACATATAACTGAAAACAGTACTTATTTATTCAATTATGCTCTGTTTATATTTGTTTTTCCTCTACACTGACAGACAGGGACTGCACTGACAGGAACTGAGTGGTATGTAATGAAGACATGACTTTTTTGTTGAAAGACTTAAAGCTACTATCCTCCAATTTTTAGGCAACATATCTAAATATCTTTACAAATATCTATACTATTCTTTAATAGTTCTAGAAAAGAGATTACATAACATCCCGAACAAACATCTAGTAAGATTTTTCCTCAGAAAGAAGTTGAATGACAGTACTATAGGACAAAGGACAGTAGCCCACAAAATTCTGAATATGGACTTATTTTTTAAGGGGAATGAAATTCTATCCTTATCCCTGTAAACATAACAACAATAAAAACAACTTTAAAATGTCATATGTCAATGCAAATTAGAAAAAAAATTTTAACAATGTTTACTTTGAAGGGCCATATCTCAAGGCACTGAAGAGGGTATTCTGGCAAAAAGCATCAAGTAGGAAACAGGATACATAAATTATGTTTCATGTAGCTACAGTTCCTATTTCAGTTCTCTATTTAGCCTCAGGGCAAATAGCATGTGGGCAGGACAGAAAAAGAATGCTTTGAAGGCCATGCGCAGTAGCTTACACCTGTAATCCCAGCACTTTGGGAGGCCGAGGGGGGGGACCACAAGGTTGAGAGATTGAGACCATCTTGGCCAACATGGCGAAACCCCGTCTCTACTAAAAATACAAAACTTAGCTGGGCTTGGTGGTGCGTGCCTGTAGTCCCAGCTACTTGGGAGGCTGAGGCAGGAGAATCGCTTGAACCTGGGAGGCGCAGGTTGCAGTGAGCCGAGATTGTGCCACTGCACTCCAGCCTGGCAACTGTTTGAGACTCTGTTTCAAAAAATAAAATACTTTGAAGTAGTAGTTGTCAATGAGCCAGCCCTAAAAGGAACATCCTCCTGCATCAGTCTCATTCAATTACTAATGCTATTAACAAGGACATCAATTGTGTTGGCAGTTTATTAAGTCTGGGGAAATGTTCCTATGAGACACTAAGCTATGTTGATTAATTTGATTCCCATAAGCAAGAGCACAATAATTAAGTGGTAATTGTCCATCACTAAGAGTCTCCATGAGACAAGTCAGTTACTTAAACATGAAAGGTGCTGTATCTTGTTACTAGTTTCCTAGCCATTTAGCTAGTCTTACCTGATATGCCTTTCTCACTGAGCAGAAGAATCCACTCCAGTTAAAATCCTATGCAATGGTTTCAACAAATAAGCTCAGGAACTCAATTGGTTCTGGGTAGCTTTTTTAGGCCTTAAATGCACTTCTCCATAAGTAACAACATTCACTCAGTGTACTCTCAACCTTAAAGCGTACTAGTCCTAGCAATAATGCAGTGATTCAAACTGATTTTACTCCGTAAATGAACTATCTTGAGTTTAATTTTAGAAAATTCAATTTCTTAATTTTAACTTCCAAAAATGTCTTCATAATGGAAAAACTCAAAGCCAATCAATAAAGCCAAAAAAATAACTGTTAAAGCCTACTGGACCCCAAAAGTCAGGGGACACTTGCACACACGAGAGAGGTAAAGACCTATAAGATAAACTACTGCTGAGCCACATACATGACCATCCTCACATCTCCACTGGGTTATCATGAAAGGACCTAATATAAAGGCTTATCCACAGTCATTTCCCCCATGAACCCCACAAGACTTGCTGCTTATGATGTCCCCCAGAGCACGAACTGTGTTTTGTTCTTTGCTGTATCCACAACACCTGGCACATGTTAGAGGTACAAGAAATATCTGATAAATAATTTAAGAAGCCACTCCCCCTGCCACCCACTCTTTCTATTCCGTACCGAATGCCTATTATATGCCAGCATTTTGCTGGGCACACAGTAATGAAAAAGACACAATACCTGCCCTCCTGGAGCCTACAGTCTGGTTTATACCACATCCTGTGTTCATGCCTATTCAAGCACTCATCACACTTGATTATAATTGCTGATTTCTAATGAAATTTTATTTTTTGGTCTCCCTCTTACCGTAAGATTGTGGGGACTTAAAGGCAAGCACTCTTTCTTTCACTGCTAAGTCCACAAGGCCTAGCATGCACCAGACATTCAATAAATGGTCTGGTAACTGAATAGATGTATGGAAGCAAGAATGGATTAATGGCATAAGACGTTATCTTTTTTATTGTTTATCTGCATGTACCTGAAGATGCTCATGACAATGGAATATTCTCTATGCCAGCCACTCTATCCCAAGTGTAAAATTTGAAGATATAGCATGACAGATACATCTTTCCTCTGTCCAAATCCTAAGACTTTTGTCTTAACTCTTATACCCCCAATGATCCCTCTATTCTTAAATGTTGCTGTTACTTTCAGTGACATTGTGTTGTGTCTAGTGGTTGTTTTCACTAAAACCACTCTTACTTTAATCACTGGCTTTTATTTCTATTAGTCAGGAGCAACCAATGAGATTCAGTTCAGATGTCAGAAAAATCATTCCCATTTGTGATTTGAAATAATTTTGCGTCTAAGTTCTAGGCCCACATCCTCACCTAATGTAGAGACTGCAACTTAAATAAGCTGTCATCACCTTAAATTCAATCTATCTTCAACTGATGAAGGCCACGTGTGAGTGTGGCTCTAGTGCGCCTGAACTTCTAATTTTTCAAAAGTTGCTAAAAATTATAATTTTGGTGTGAAATTTCCTACTTTTTTTTTTCAAATCATACAAGGGAAGTGGTCAGACTATGGATACCTTTTTTAAAAACTGACTTGCAGATGGACTAGATGAAAGTCAAGGAGAAGAGTCAAGGATGATCCCAAAAATATTTTTGGCCTTCATGATTCAAACAATGGATGTAGCATCTAAGACAGGAGAGGCTACGGAAGGAGCAGTTTTAGTAACGAGCAGGTATATTAATCCTTTCTCACACTGCTGTGAAAAAATAACGGAGACTGGGTAATTTACAAAGAAAAGAGGTTTAATTCACTCAACAGTTCCACATGGCTGGGGAGGCCTCAGGAAACTTACAATCATGGCAGAAGGCACCTCTTCACAGGGCGGCAGGAGAGAGACTGAATGCCAAACAAAGGGGGTAGTCCCTTATAAAACTATCAGATCTTGTAAGCATTCACTATCAGAAGAACAGCATGGAGAAAACTGCTCCCATGATTCAATTATCTCCACCTGATTCCACCCTTGACACATGGGGACTAATACAATTCAAGGTGAAATCTGGGTGGGGACACAGAGCCAAACTGTAGCAGTGGGTAAGAAAGGTGGGATTCAGTTTGGGACATATTGCATTTGAATGCTTATCAAATTACCAAAGTGGAGATGTCAAACAGGCTTCAACTGTATGACTCTGAAGTTGGGAGAACAGGTCTAGGCTAAAGATATAAATTTGGGAATCCCAAGAATATGGGCATTATTTAAGAATTCAAATTGGATGAAACCAGCTTGAGAATGTAGGTGCCACCACGCCTGGCTAATTTTTGTATTCATAGTAGCGACAGGGTTTCACCATGTTGGCCAGGCTGGTCTCGAACTCCTGACCTGAAGTGATTCACTTGCCTTGGCCTCCCCAAGTGCTGAGATTATAGGTGTGAGCCACCACTTCTGGCCTATACCTTCTGGCCTTCACCTTTGAAAAGGAGGGAAGGGGCAGTAATTGTAGGGAGGCAAGGAAGACGCTTCTAGGGTATGAGTCATAGTTAAATGCACCATGTGATAATTCATTGAGCGGTACATTGACCTGTGCACTTTTCCACATCTGTTATATTCAAACAGAAAAGTTTTTAAACATCTAGGCACCACCTAAAAAATGTGCATAATCATTTCCTTTTCAAAAATAACCAATTTCTTATAAACTTTGCAAATTAAACTGATTTGAACACGCTGAAAATAAAAGAAATGGCCTAAAAGTGAATGTTAAAAAAACAAAGTTTCAAACCGGATCTTAGTTAAGGTGGTAAGGAATACAATAAACAGGACGCAAACCTAAAATAATTCTTATATTCTATGTTAAGTTAATTTTTAAAATGCTATACCTGTACATCTAGTCGCCATTCAAGGTTATGATAACTGGGAAGACTTGGTGCCAGTTCACTGAGAATAGTTCTGATCTCTTTTCTGTTGTCCAGATAAAGCTGAAGCAACAATTTGTTTAATTCTTCAGAGAATCCCAGAACAAAAACAGAGTCTTGAAAATCCAGTTCAGAAATCTAAGTAAATTGAGTTTAAAAGAACATCAAATTTATCTTTGTCTAGCTAAAATACCTGATATACACAAAAGAATGATATCTTCTAATGTATTCTGTCTAGTAAAAGAAACATTATTCCTTAAAGATAACCATTGCCCACCATGCCAAAATCTGAGTTACCGATACATAAAAGTACTTTATTAAAGTATAAAATGGGAATAATTAAGATGCCCAGTTTCCTTTCTTATTCTTCATTAAGCCAGATACTGCTGATATGCAAACAATATTAATATTCTCTCTCCTCTTAGGATACATATATTGTTTAACAACATGCAGAATTAGAAGTACTTCTATACCAGCTATTCATACTAGCAAGAGGTAGTCATGTCAGTAGATGATGTTATATGATTTTTATTTTTTAGATATGTCTTCAAAAACTCAATAATAAACCATTAACAACATTATTAAAATACACAGGTACCTGCCAGGACTTTGATTTAGGGTACCCTAGACCTTTCTTAAGGGTCTAGGCAATACAAAAGAGTCCAGAGAAACCCTTACCATGAGCTTTGAGCTCTCAGTGAGGAGATACGTTAATCCTTCCACACCATGCTGGACAGTGTCACTACTCACATTGAGTTTTCCTGGGAAAGAAAACCAAAAACGAGCAAATAAATTACTACTGTGGTATTTACCTTGTTCATATTTGTATGTAAAAATAAACACTATCCATTATTACATGTTTTCAAACACTGCATGAAAAATAGTAAGTTGGTCAGAGGCTCCTTCTCCTTCTCACTCCACCCCCAGCCAAATGCCTTTGGTATTTTCCACCATAACAAAACGCTAACTGTGGAGGATAATACCAGGTGCGTAGCCCTTCTCTTGAATGTAGCTCCTTCAAGTTTGTAGATGAGGAACTGGACAGGGATTGACTTAATCCCAGAGACTGCCTCTTATCCAGGGGGAAAACAACACTTTTTTTTTAGCAAGCGGATATCTGAACAATTAATAATGATAACCAAATACTTGCATATTTACAGTTGAACCAGCTATTCCACAGACTTTGGTATATTTATACCAACTTCTTTTCAGTATTTCTGAAAGTAAGGTGGTATTATGTACATTTTACCATGAGAAAACTGATTTAATAGAAGCTTTAACAATCTTACAGCTACTTAAGCGACGGGCAGGATTTGCACCTTGACTGAAGAGCTCTGCTGGTTTTATTCTACTACAATGGGAACAAGACCCTAGGAGTCGCAACAATCCCCTTCTCTCCCGGGAGACAGAGAATAGCTCGCACTATCCTAGCAGCCTGCGGAGCCGTCCCCTTCCCCTTCTTACTGGCGGCGCCTTCGTAGATTTTTGGGTTTGCGCCGCGCCTCAGGAATTCCACAGCAATCCTCCCAAACTCGGCGACCACTGCAATGAAAGTCAGGCTGTTGAGTGCCGGGAGCTGCCTTTGGACCTCCTCCCCAGCCCACAGAACACCGCCCCGGCGCCCCCTGACCCGCGCTGTCCACTTGAGGCAGGAAGGCCAGGTGCTCCTTATGCTCCTCAGACAACTCCAGCAGCATCTTCGCTGGCCTACGATTTCAGCCGGCAGCGCGGATCCCGACTTCGCCACTTCCGCCGCCAGTGTCCTATGGCCTAGAGGCTCCGGCGTCGCAGCGTCTGGAGCTTTGGGTTCCGGCCTACGAACGAACGTTCTACACTCGGACGCCCCCTGCAGTGGAGGCTGAGGTTAGAACACTCTTCCTTTTATAAATCATCCCCCAAAGATATAGTGAGCGCCTGCTAGGTGTACGGTGCTAGGCTCTTTGGGAGATGACAAGGTGTTTCAAATCCGGCACGCCCTCTCGTGGAGCACACATTAAAAATAACAATAGATCACATTTGTTAAGCACTAACCGTGTCAGGAGCTGTTCTTATATTTATTAAATATATTTGGAATTCACAAGAACCCTGTTCGGTAGTTTCCATTATAATTTCCATTAGAGATAAGGAAACTGAGGGACAAGTTCAGCAACTGACACTTTTATAAAGTTCCCACAGAGCTTCTGTATATGTTATCTTAAACATATCTCAGTTAATATCCTCAACAGCCATGGCTTTGTTTTTACAGATAAAGAGAGAAAACTCCAGAGATTGTGAGACAAAGCCTATGAAAAAGCTAGAAGGAGAGGGTTGGATCCCTCACCTACCTGCTCCAAAGCACATCCTTCTACATACCAGGCTGAAAACTGGAGGTTTGTGACAAGTTTTATAAGTGATTATAAATTAGGATAAAGATAATGATGATGATGACAATGACTGATACTTACAGAATTTAGAGCAATGTCTTTTATTTTTTTTTTTGAGAAGGAGTCTCACTCTATTGCCAGGCTGGGGTGCAGTGGCGCCATCTCAGCTCATTGCAACCTCTGACTCCTTCGTTCAAGTGATTCTCCTGCCTCAGCCTCCCGAGTAGCTGGGATTACAGGCGCCTAACCACCATGCCTGGCTAATTTTTTGTATTTTTAGTAGACACAGAGTTTCACCATGTTGGCCAGGCTGGTCTTGAACTCCTGACCTCAAGTCATCCACTCAACTCGGCCTCCCAAAGTGCTGGGATTACAGGCATGAGCCACCACACCTGGCCCAGAGTAATGTCTTTTAAAAAGTGTTTAGGGCCTGTGATAATTTAGTTTCTTATCCAACTCTCTCTTCTCACCTGCTGTGGTTCGAATATGAGACTATAAAGTTGCCAATTGATAGGAATAGGATTCTTCAAATCTCAGTCCCTTGAAATGGAGGGCATGAAGGAAAAGAGGGGAAGAGGAGGAGACTCTTCATATCTGTCTTTTCTATCTAAGGCTTGAGACAACTCTTTCTGTATTCTGAGTCTCTCAGGGAACATTGGAAGAGTTTTTCAAGTCATTTCTCTGTGTCTACATTGTCCATCACATCTGACTGAAATTGTTTCTTCCACTGGGGCACAGAAAGACAGGTCCTTGAACTTATTAGTTAGGCCTTGAAGTACGATTTGCGGAGAGAACAAAATTTTTTACTTAGGCTGTGAATTGCAGATCAGCAAAAATTGCATCATTCCCTGAAGTTGCCTTTATTCATACATTATTGAGAAAACATCCATTATTAAAGAATAATTCTCAGAAAATGTAAAATCATGACTCTTCTACAAGTATACAGTGAACACAGGTCAAAGAATGTATTGAACTAGTTAATGAGAGAAGTAGTGCGATTACAGTAAAAACCAGTTTCAACTGATTCAAAAGAGGTATTCAAGAACTGTACATATATAGGGGATAAGGAATGCTGAAATGAATTTGCAGATAGACACAATACTATGCCAATATTAAATAGCCTTTCTTCAGCGGGGTGCAGTGGCTCACACTTGTAATCCCAGCACTTTGGGAGGCTGAGGTGGGCAGATCATGAGTTTAGGAGATCGAGACTATCCTGGCTAACACTGTGACACCCCGTCTTTACTAAAAATACAAAAAATTACCTGGGCGTGGTGGCACATGCCTGTAGTCTCAGCTACTTGGGAGGCTGAGGCAGAAGAATCGCTTGTACCTGGGAAGCAGAGGTTTCAGTGAGCCATGATCGTGCCACTGCACTCCAGCCTGGGAAGCAAGACTTTGTCTTAAAAAAAAAAAAAAAAAAGAAAAAGAAAAAAGAAATAGCCTTTCTTCTCTGTAATCTCAGGGAATGAAGTGAGGACAGGCAAGGTGAAGGTGAGAATAGGGAGCAGAAGAATGGGCTGTCTAAAGAAGGTGGCAAGGCACCAAGTTCGACGGGGTGCAGTAGCTCATGCCTGTAAAACCAGCACTTTGGGAGACCAAGGCGGGAGGATCACTTGAGACCAGAAGTTTGGGTCCAGCCTGGTCAACATGGTGAAACCCCATCACTACTAAAAATACAAAAATTAGCGAAGCATGGTGGCATGTGCCTGTGGTCTCGGCTATTTGGTAGGCTAAGGCATGAGAATTGCTTGAACCTGGGAGGCAGAAGTTGCAGTGAGCCAAGATTTGAGTCACTGCACTCCAGCCTGGGTGACGGAGTGAGACACTGTCAAAAAAAAAAAAAGAAACCAAATTATATCCAGAAAAAACCAGCCTGGGAGTTAAAATTCCCCAGGATAATTTATAGAATGACTTTTGTTGCCACAGGTGATATGGTTGTTTAGAGAAATTACCTGAGTGAAAAAATCAAAACTCTAGATTCCAGATCTGGTTCTGGCATTACCTGTATGAGCTCTAATAAATTGTTTTTATGTTATAAGCATAGCCTCTTCATCTGTGAAATTGATATTTTAATACTGCCCTTCTATTCCATGCAGTGTCGTTAGGATGCTCAGATGAACTAATAAATTCACATTAAAAAATTGATTTTGGTGATCAAATTAAACAATAAATTAGAATTAAGCAAACAGCAGCATTTACGTTTCATAGGAGCAGATTTCATGCTCCTATAAATTCATAAATAATTGAGAATTCCATGTGCAGGATCATCTTAAAAGCCATTCATTTAATTCAACAAGCATTTATTGAGTAATTCCTCAAAGGTTCAAAGACATGCTGTGCTTTGGCAGTTTGGAGAGGAATGAAACAATGCCCTTGTTCTCTAGGAGGTGTCAGAAAAGTGAAGGAGACAGACAATGAAGTAACTTTAATATAGTGTGATGAGTAACAATACTTGAAGAATGAACAAAATGACACAGAAGGTAGAGAATATACATTAACTCTAATTTCAGTGAGAATCAGGATGAGAATAAATATCTTAGGGTATCCAGTGCATGTTAATACTAATACTCTACAATTGCATTTATATTATAAATATATACAGTCTTAATGTCACTTCATGCTATCTTCCAGGGTGAATGTAAACAAAGCATAAATCTTAGTATTTTTTCAATTGATGCTGGTAGGAAACAATGCTTATATCAATCATTCTCTCACATATTATCTGGATCTTTCTATTCCCCTCCAGCTCATATGTCTTTCTTTTCTCTTACATTTTCCCTTTTTTCTCCCCTTAAAGTATTCTAGTCCCAGAATCCTTGCACAGGGTATTTCCTTGGCTGTGTTTCAATGATACATAAAATATTATCACCCCTTGCAAGGAATTACAGCTCAATTCACTACACTGTCAAGAGGACAATAACATGGTGACAAGCCTCTGTCACACCAACCACCTTCTCATGACTCTAAAGCTGGCACCAAATGCATGAATTAGCTCCTGAGATTTTAAAAAATTATTTTAATTCATTTAAATATTGTATTATAAAATTATTGAAAATGTATAAAAAATTTAAATTTATATAAAAAATTTAAAAATATAAATTTGTATAAAAATTAAAAATATATAAAAAGTGTAAAAAATTTATAACTGTATTATAAAAATGCAAACAGAAAAGGGTACAGATTTTAAAAATATTTCTTGTTGAATTTTCTCAAATTAAACACACCTATTACTCCAGAACAGGAAATAGAATGTTACAACACCCCAGAATCTCTGCTGTGCCTCCTGCCAGTCACTATCATTTCTTGTTTTCTCTATGGTGAACTAATACCTATTCACATGCTGCCCTACAGCACCCCTATAGAATCATCTATATGTGTGTGTGTGTGCACGCGCGCCCACGTGCATTTGCGTGTGCATGTGTGTGTGTTAATGCGCGTGTGTGTGTGTTTGTATTAACCTTTGTGCCCCAACCCCATAATATCTAACTGAGAACTCAAAGGTATTTTTTTAGAACGAGCCTTAGATTTTAGGTGCATCTGACAGTTGTGCCAAAATCTGTCTTATAATCATCTCAGTAAATTGCCTCAAAAATATAAAATATTTAGAAAAAAACTTTTAACAGAAGATTTACGAGATATGTACACTAAAAATTGCAAAACTTTGCTAAGAAGAATTAAGACTTAAGTAAATGGAGACATATACCACAAATACAGAAATATACATCATGGGTTATAAGATTTAATATTATTAAAATGTCAGTTGTGCCCAATCAGAATCCCAGCAGGCTTTTAAAATAGAGAATGGCAAGTTTATTTTAAAATTTATATGGAAATGTGAAGGACTAAAAATAGCCAAAACAAACTTGAAAAACAGTAACAAAGTTGGAAGATTCATATTACCTGATTTCAAGACTAATTGAGACATAGTAGTTAAGACAATGTAGTATTAGTATAAGGAAAAGTAAATAGATCAATGGAACAAAACAGAAAGTCTGGAAATAGATCTGTACCTATATTGCCAATTGATTTTCAACAGAGATGCTAAGGTAAGTCAGTGGGGGAAAGGAAAGTGTTTTCAAAAATTAATCCCAACCCTAACTACACATCAGTCACACAAATAATTTGAGATAGAATATAAACCTAACATAAAGACTAAAATTATTGAACTTCTAGAAGAAAATATAAGAGAACATCTTGATTACTTTTGAGTAGGCAGAGTTTTTTGTTGTTGTTGTTGTTGTTGCTGTTTTGGGTTTTTTGAGATGTAGTCTCACTCTGTTGCCCCGGCTAGAGCGTCATGGTACGATCTTGGATCATTGCAACCTCTGCCTCCCAGGTTCAAGTGGTTCTCCTTCCTCAGCCTCCTGAAAAGCTGGGATTACAGGTGTGTACCAGCATGCCTGGCTAATTTTTGTACTTTTAGTAGAGACAGATTTTCATCATGTTGGCCGGGCTGGTATCGAACTCCTGACCTCAAGTGATCCGTCTACCTCGGCTTCTAAAATGTTGGGATTACAGGCACGAGCCACTGGATCTGGCCAGGCAGAGTTCTTCTAGAGGAAATAAAAAGCATGAACCATAAAAGAAAAAAGTGATAACTTCTAATTCATCAAATTTAAAACATTTTTGTTTATCAAAAAACATCATTAGTCAAATGAAAAGGTGATCCACAGACTGGGGAAAAGACCCACTATATATCTATATCTATATATCTGATGAAGAACTTGTATCATAAATACAAAAATCTCCAGCAAACCAATAATTAAACAATAGCCCAATTTTTTAAATAGGCAGAAACCTGTATTGATATTTCACAAAAGAAGATACACAAATGGCCAATAAGCTCATGAAAAGGCATCCAGCATCATAGTCCTCAGGAAAATGTAAATTAAACCACAATGATTGGCCATTTCAAACCCCATAGAATGACTAAAGGTAAAAAACACTGATGACACCAAGTGTGTGAAGGCAGAACTCTTGTACATTGCTAGTCAAAGGGTTAAAAATCGTAAAATCACTTTGGAGAACTCTTAGGTAGTTTCTTATAATGTTAAATGTACATTTACCCTATTATTCAACAATTCTACTCCTAGATATTTACCCAAAAGAAATGAACACATATGTCCAGAAAAATACTTTTTACAATAATGTTCATAATGCTTTATTCATAATATGTCAAAACTGGAGGCAACCCAAACATCTATACAGTCCATACACTATGCATTATGGTGCATCCATATAATGGAATACTACTCAGTAATAACAAGGAATGTACGGCTGGACATGGTGGCTCATGCCTGTAATCCCAGCACTTTGGGAGGCCGAGGCAGGTGGATCACTTGAGATCAGGAATTAAAAATACAAAATACTAAAAATACAAAAATTAGGTGGGTGTGGTGACACATGCTTGTAATCCCAGCTACTCAGGAGGCTGAGGCAGGAGAATTGTTTGAACCCGGGAGGTGGAGGTTACAGTCAGCTGAGATCATGCCACTGCACTCCAACCTGGACAACAGAGTAAGACTCTGTCTCAAAAAAAAAAAAAAGGAATGTACTACTGATACATGCAGCATTGTAAATGAATCTTAAAACATTAAGTTGAATGAAATAACCCAGACACAAAAGTGAACAACTGTATGATACCAATGGTTTGAAAACCTCATCTAAGGAGATAGAAATCAGAATAGAAGTAACCTATAGAAATTGGGATTGACTTAGGAGCTTAAAGGAACTTTCTGGGGTAACAAAAATGTTCTATGTTTTGACTGGGATATTTTTCAAATCCATTGAATCTTACATTTAAGATTCATGCAATTGACTGCATGTAAATTTTAATTCAATTTAAAAAGATTAATTGGAAGCAATGTTATAGCAGAAGTTTAAAAGATGTCTGAGATCAGCATTAGACCTAGATGGTATTTGTTAACTTTCTTTTTTTTTCTTTTTCGTTCTTTTTTTGTATTTGTATTTCTTAAGAACTTTCCTTATATAGAAATACAAATTTTTGTTTATTTTTAAATACGTTCTACCTTCATATGGCTTAAAAAACCAAAGCACACTTTTTTTTTTTTTTAAGAAACAAAACAAACAAAGGAACTGTAAAAATTCTCACTTTCTTGTGTTCTGTTGTCTCAGCTCCCCTACCCTGTGGGCAACTAGTATTCTCAATTTCTTCTGAATTATTCCTCATATTCTTTACACAAAAAAGTACTAAATTTTCACTTAGGGTGATGAAGTTCGAGAAAACGTGGGGTTAAATATCCTATTAAAAGTTATGTGGCGTTAGAACTGTTACTAGAGATGATAACATTAGAACTGTTATTAGAGATGTTAACATTAGAACTGGAGATTCTGTTTGATCAGGTCTTTGTCCAAACTGGGGCTGTGCTTTTCAAAGCACAGTTTCTAGAGGGTTTTCACATGCTGTCAGGCCTCCTCTGGTAGTCAAGTTAGAAATGCTCTTTTTGGCCAGGACTCTTGCTATTTCTAACTGCTGAAGCCATCGTTTCTCTTTAAAGGCACTGCAAGAAAACAAGATATAATTTATAAGGAGGTCTGATCTTGTCTGCATACATAGCTGAAAAAGGGTGGAAATCTTTAGGTTGATTTTGTAGCTAGGGCTAGTTTATCTTGTCACATAGGTAGATGTCTAAAACAAGTTCCCTCTGATACAGTGGGAATGATATTTTCCCAAGGCAATACTAAAAATTTAGAATCCACAACTAGAAACAGAAAGCCACTCAATATCGTAGAATTCTCTGGGTTGAAACTTTTTCTCTCTCTTTTCTAGATATTCCTATACATCACATATTCCCTGGCCTCTTCTCTTTTCTCCACTTTCTACCACTGCAAACACACATGAGGATTTTTTAGTTGAAAAGATATTAGGTATTTTGATAGTCTTCATCTAAAATGCAATGGAATTTAATGTTATATGATAGTTATTCTCTGACTATATACCAATGAAGACTTGCAAATTTGAATACAACTATTCTTACTTTGCAGGATGCAAATGTGATTTAATACCGAGGTGTGTTACATCCCCTTAAATGTTGGGGTCCTCCAAGATTCTATCCTTGGTCCTTCTCTCTTTCTATAACCTCATCCTAGGAGTCCTCATTTACTGTTTCAATTCCCTTATCCATGACTCCTAAATCTTGACCTTTCATAAAAGTTGCATATCTCCAATTGCCAAATAAAAATATTTATCCCATAGGCACTTCTAATTTAACATATCTTCTTCCTAAACTTGTCCCACTTCTGTTTCCTTGTTCCAACACTTTGATTTTGCTACCCTCACCGGTGGTCTCCAAATCTAGAAACAAAACTAAATTCCTTCTTTCTCTATCTCCACACCCAGTCAGTGACCAAATTTTGTAGATGATTCCCCAGAAATATCTCTTGTATTTGGCCTTTTCTTTTTTCCCTAACTACTACTGTTCTAGTCTAGGTCATTATTGTGTCTTATTTCTTGTTGCAGGTTCCTAACTCCACTATAGTCTTTCCACATCTTTCCAGTGAGTCTTCCTTATATCTCTATCAGATTTGTCTCAAAAACAATCTGAAACTAATTATGTAACATACGTCATGAAAAAGAACTTCTATGAGCTTCCCACCCACCTCCTTCCTGCCCCATGGAAGGGGGAATAAGAAGCAAACTCTCTACTTGGTCACACAAGATGCTTCTTAGTGTAGATGCAGTTCATACTGCCAGTCTTATCTGTAGCCAGTTTTTCGCTATTGCCTACAGTGCCTTTTGCAAATCCACATAATTTCCTGAAAACTAAATTTCTTGCTTGCTCTTTCACAAAACAGTGCCTTTGACCACGTTACTATCTTGGATCCTTTACCTCACCTCTACCCATGTTGCCTGACAAAGTCCAGTATTTTTAAAAGGCTTTGACTCAATCTATTAGGAACAACCTGTATCAAAGTACCACAGTGTTTCCAACATTTGAACCAGGTCCATGTCTGCCTGATTCAACTTCTTTGTTCTGAATTAACTTCTTCCTTTACCTCAATGGCTATATTTTTCTGGGCTCTCTAAACTGGCTTAACCCATCCATGATGCCCATAAAATTAGGTGTTAAGTCTTAAAGAAATCACTCGGGCACTTTTAGCCTTTCCTCACATCCCATCTGACTTAATTTGAAGTCCTCTCCTGTTCTAATGCATATCCTAGCTTTTCCTAGACTCAGAGCCTATCCTGATTCTCTCCCTGACATTTGAAACTTGTCTTTTCCACATTCATTCAAAAAATGCTTACCTTAAGAAAAAGGTGCATATTGAGCATTTATTCTATGGCAAGCACTATTCTATGTGCTAGAGATGCAAAAAGTGATTAAAGCATACAAGACATGCCTTTTAAAATAATAAAACGAAGAGCTGTACTTGTACCTAGAATACCAGAGCTCATCAAAGTTCATAGCATTTGAGATTATCATCTATTCTCAGTCCACTCAAACTCTCAGCCTTTTGGATCAATCCCCTACATTTGAATCTTTACTTAACTGAACTCCCAGGTCACATAAACCTCTCTGGAATTGGACAATAAGCCATAAGGAAGGCTATTTTCTAGACACACCTTACAGATATTCTTTGACCTGTGTAAAGCCTACACTGCCTTCTAGGCTGAGGAATGATACTCTATGTGACCTTCTGTCCTCAATGACTGTCATGTCTACACTAGCCACATGCACTCACCAACCCAAACCCACATTAGCACTTGATTATATGCCAAATGCATCAATGCCATCTTGGAGTCAGCCCTGAGAGGTTTAGTTTTATGAATCTAAGGGTAGAGTTCCTGAATGACATGTTGTCCAACAAGTACTTTCACATGATGCCAGGTGACTTGTCTGGTTGGGGAGACTCTTCTTCCTATAGTACAGGAACATCTGATGGTCACTTTACCCACCTGATCCCTGGGCCAGCATCATAAAGGATTATGTTAGGTTCTTCCCCATTTCCTGGCTATGATACTAGCTTGGTGCATGTAGCCATCAAAATAGTGTACATCCATTCCTCATGTTTGTGTCTTTGTGGTACAAGAGCTGCACTGGTCATTTAGAGGAGTGCTCAAACCACCTGACTGCCTGCCTACTGTCTACTTCAGGAAGACATAAGTGCTTTTGTGACTCTGAGGAACTTGAACTAGATCAAGAAGACTGCAAGGGCATGAGGTTGTAGATCTCCTCTTCCTTTCCACAGCACACCAACAAAGGAAGGTGGAACAGGTCCTGGGAAAGATTCCATGGAAAGGGGGCAGAAACAGATGGGAAGTGGAGGGTGTGAATATGGGAAAGAGAAAAATATTGGGAAAAGAGAAATGAAAAGAGGATTTGCAAGGAGTAACACTGCCACAGTAAGTGTGCAGTCAGACTGACCACCACTCCCTCATGGGTCTCCCTTCTGCACTAACACTTTTCTTCCCTCCCTCCTTCCCTCCCTCCCTCCCTTCCTCCTTCCCTCTTTCCCTTCCCTTCTCTTCCTTCCTTCCTTTTTTCCTTTCTCTCTGTCGCTTTCTTTCCTCTCTCTTTCCCTTCATTCCTTCACAGAATAACCCTTTCTTTAACAAAATGTCTTCTCTAGCAATTTCTTTCTTGATCTTGAAATTGCCACTCCTTAATAATGCTAATCCTTATGAAATATAGCTACAAAAAAGCAGCACACTGGTAGTCTTTTTAAAAAAGTGTTTAGAAATGTTTACTAAAGCTAAACAAATTTATCCTATGACCCAGCAATTCTGTTTCTTGGTATAGAGTCAAGAGAAGTGCATGCAAATGTCCACCAAACCTCATATGTAAGAATAATCATGCATTTTAATTCAAAATAGCCCCTAAATTAGAAATAATCCAAATGCTTATCAATAGGAAAATAGATAAATAAATTAGATATGAAATACTGCATAAAAAGGAATACTACATAGAAATAAGAACAACCAATACATGCAAAAACATTGATGAATCTTACAGGCAATGTGTTGAACAAAAAAGCAAAATATAAAAGGTATTTGCCATATGTGCCCTTTATTTGAAGTTCAAGAATAGGCTAAACTAATCTTCAGTGTTAGAGATAAGAATAATATAGTTACATCCAGGAAGGATCATTGACTGGCAAGGGGCATGAAGGAAAATTTTGGGGGGCCGGAAATAGTTTGCTTCTGATATGAGTAGTACTTACATGGATATATGAAAACATAAAAATTCAACAAGCCATATATGTGAGATTAGTGGTCTTTATGGATTTTACTATATATTTCATAATTCAATTCCTCCCCAAGAAAGCACTCTACACAACAGACACTGTCAGCTTTTCTCATCTAAAACCACACATACACACACCCCTTAAAAATAGATGCTTTTCATGCACATTTCTGTTCTCCTGAGCGCAGTACTGGGCTATAGTAAACACTTATTGAATGTTTGTAAAATAAACTCATTTTTCGCATGTATCTGTTGATAAATCAATATTTCCTTTCTTGTTTGTAGCCTTATTTTAAGCTGGACTATGTTGGTTTTCAATTAATAATTTTCCTAATACATTTCTAGAATTTTTGATGATATCTTTTTATACATTCTAGTCAGGGATATCTCACAAATTACAAAGATTGAGACTATTAAGCTATTAAGTGTCTTCCTGTATTGTCAGCCTCACTCTATTGGATATTGAATTTTGCATTTTACAGCCAAAATTACTCTCACCACAAGGTGGCAACAACCTAACTGAAATAAAGTTGAGCTGAGCTAAAGACCAGTACAGAAAACCAGGTAAAACAATCTAGCCTTGTTTTTTCTTTCTTTCTCATTATATTAAGGGAAAAAGTCACTCATAAATCTATATTTCTAACTGTAATATTTGCATCAAATTATGCCTCATAAGTAATGGATGGGATCTGAGCTCTAATCAGAGGGTTGTGTACCTGAAATATCTAATTCTGATACAATTTTTTTTAAACCTCTTTAGATGTGCTATGGATTACCTTTTAACTCACTGTAAATATTAATGTCAATTCTAGCACCCTGTTCAATATAGATCTCACCACACCCGTGTATCTTGCCTAGTAAATCAATTCAAGTCCTTATCATTCAATTTATCATTGAAGTGTTCCTTTCTTTCCTCCCATTTTCATTGCCATCTAGTCTTCTATGAGACATTTGATGCCTCCCTCCTGTATTTCAGTTTTCCCTTTTTCCCATCTAATTACAATTAATTTTTTATTAGCTTTAGAAGAAGAAGAGGAAGAGAAAGAAGAGGAGGAGGAGGAAAAAGAAGAAGAAACAGTAGCAGCCTAGGCACAGTGGTTCATGCCTATAATCCCAGTGCTTCGGGAGGCCAAGGTGGGAGGATCACTTGAGCCCAGGAGTTTGAGACCAGCCTGGGCAACATGGTAAGTCCCCATCTCTACACACAAAAATAAATCAACCAGGTATAGTGGCATGTGCCTGTAGTCCCAGCTACTTGGAAGGCTGAGGTGGGAGAATTGCTTGAGCCTAGGAATTCGAGGATGCAGTGAGCTGTGATAGCACCACTGCACTCCAGCCTGGGCAACAGAGTGAGACTCTGTCTCAAACAGAAAGAAAAAAGAAAAGCAGCGGCAGCAGCAGCAACAACAACAGCAGCAGCAGCAGCAGCAAGGGACCTTGCTAATTGATACAGTTCTTTGTACTGTGTTTCTTTCCCTTTTGAAAGTTTGAGGAATAAAGTACTGCACAGATTGGATTGGTTAGTAATATTAGTTCATTTTGTCCTAGTCATGAGGCTAAGATGAGGTCCCTGAAGCTGGGTATTGATGCATTGAAACAACTTGTATTACTTTCAGTGGCATAGTAGGGCATTATGGACCATTCCTTACCCTGGAATAAAGTAAAAACAAGAAAGAAAGCCACACACACACACACACACACACACACACACTCCTTAAAAACAGACGCTTTTCACGCACATTTCTGTTCTGCTGGGCACAGCACTGGGCTATAGTAAACACATGTATGAAAGAAAAAACAAGGCTAGATTGTTTTACTTGCTTTTCTATACTGGTCTTTAGCTCAGCTCAACTTTATTTCAGTTACCCTAAGCCTTATTCCCTTTGTATGTTTAAGGAGAGAACATTACCTTGCCACAGCTAAGCAGTAGATTGCATTCTCCCTTGGAGTCTTTCCACTGTGCTCTGAGAAAGATGCAAAGGAGGACTTCAGTAAAAAGTCAGCACTGGGTGTTGCATAGAAAAACGATGGATGTGAATATCCCACTCTTGAAACTGGAGGGAGGGGGACTTGGGGAAGATATATGTTTTTTATGAGCTGTTCTTTTTTGCTAGCTATGGCAGCAATTTTTTTCTGATTTTGTTGTTGATGTTTTTGTAATTCAGAGAATGTACTTGCATTCACAAGTGGATGAAATTTGAGGGCTTGTTCTCTTGTGTCCGACTGTGAAATTGCCAAAGGATTGACAGGTTTGCTGCTTGCAGTTTGTCTGCTGAGAGATGGTAGCTTGGGCAAGATGCTTTGTGAGTCCCTGTTCCCAGCCTTATGCCAGCTCTTGGAGGTCATTTTTGGCTTGGTGAAACCATCCACCATCACAGTGTCTCCAACTTTTGCCCCAAAGACCCTTGCTCCGCAAAATTGGCTTTTATGAAGACTGTGACTCTGAGCTCTGAGGATCCATTGTTTTATTTTAATATAAATCCTCATTGGGACTGAAATTTTCAGAAAAGAAACCGTGGACCACATTTTACTCAGCAAATATAATACACAGTCTTTATGCTTGTGTTTGAACACGATGGTCAGGGGAGTTTGTCCTGCTGCATTTTTGCATTCCAGGCACAGCACGCTGCAGTTGACAAAAGCCTTCAGAATCAACAGTTGGCCTGCTTCTGCGGCTGCATGAATGGGGCACTTAGAGACATCTGTATGAAGGGCTTCATGGCACCATGCTCGATAGGGGTGAACACCGACTGCCTCGTGGGGCTGCACACCCTGCTTCAGGGCCCATTCAGTGAGTTCAATGTACCCACAAAAAGCAGCAATGTACAGGGCTACCCTTTTCTGATACCTAAATGAGTGAAACAAGTAGGGAGGGGGTGGTTAGAAAATCAGCAGACAGACAAAAGTGGTTACACTAAATACTCATGAAATATTCTAGTTAAATGTTTATTTCTTCTTTTACCTTAAAATGGTTTTAGAAAAGGCAGATAGTGATATACAGGTTAAATTGCGCAGGTTCTGCTTACACACATTATCCTACCATACACATGTAAATAGTTTCTTTGAAGTTATCATCTTTCTTATAAAAATTAAATCCTCAGGACAAATATCAAGCATGGGGAAATAAAAGGAGCTTTTAAGTCTGACCCTTTACATTCTCTGAGCTCTTAGATTTTATTTAAAGATGAAGACAAGTGTAGATGGTCAAGCACATGAACACCAGAGTCAAATTGTTACTGTTCAATACCAAGTTCTGCCCTTGCTATTTGTATGACATGGGGCACGTTTCCTTGCCTCTGTCCCCCACAGGCAAAGTCTTGCTCTGGTGCTCAGGCTGGAGTGCAGTGGCACAATCTCGGCTCACTGCAACCTCTACCTCCTTTGTTGAAGCGGTTCTCCTGCCTCAGCCTCCTTAGTAGCTGGAATTACAGGTGCGAGCCACCACACCCAGCTAATTTTTGTATTTTTAATAGATATGGAGGTTTTGCTATGTTGGCCAGGCTGATCTCGAACTCCTGACCTCAAGTGATCTGTCCACCTTGACCTCCCAAAGTGCTGGGGTTATAGGTGTGAGCCACTGCACCCAGGCAACATGAGGCAGGTTTTCTGATCTTAGTTTCCTCATTTGTAAAATAAGATTAAAACGTGTCCACCTCATCAAATTGTTATAAGCATAAAATGAGGTAATAAATATAACACAGTGTCTGCCGCAAAGTATTAAACTATTGTTAACTAAAGTATATACTGCTAAAAGTAAAAAGCAACGCAGCTATTTCTTTGGATGCAGAACATGGAAAAAGAAATATCACTATCTCACAATAGAAATCAGCGTAAAATATTTGAATATTTTATAAAACTGTAAAAGCTGCTCTTCTAATCCATCACTTCACAGAGCCCTTAGATCTTCTGGTGCGTTGGCTTCTGCAAAACATGATCAAATCACCCACGAGGGGACACTATTCTAAAATACTATTAAACCTACAGATTAGTGCAATTTATGTATTTGAGAGGCTGATGGCTATATTAACACTTTAAAATGACCACCTGCCTCTCTGAACCTACCCTCCTCCACTGTCCCAGTCATAGCCGTTATACTTTATGTATGGCAAAAGTGCAAATGCTGGTAATAAATGCAGTTTGAAAAATTACATGTGAGCTTAGGAAGATACAGCCAATGTTTTCAGCCAATTAACAAGTGTTTTCTTAAAGAATAACTGAATGTGAAAGTGGCAAGATACAGATGTCCTTTGACTTATTAAAGGGTTACGTCCTCATACAAACCATCATGTATTGGAAGTATGATAAGTCTGAAATGCACTTAATACACCTAATCTCCTAAACATCAAATCTTAGTCTAGCCTACTTTAATTAGCCTACAGTTGGGCAAAATCATCTAACACAAAGCCTATTTTATAATAAAGTTTTGAATATCTCATATAATTTATTGAATGCTGTACTGAAAATGAAAAAGAATGGTTGTATGCACACTGCAAGTTTGGTCTCTACTGAATGAATATCACTTTTACACCATTGTAAGTTGAAAAATCTAAGTTTGATCCATCATAAGTTGAGGATTGTCTGTATTTATTCTGATAGCCTTTTAAAATGTTGCTGAAAGTCTCATATCTAAACCAAATCGAAGTCACCCATTTAATCACAGTTAACCTTTGAACAACATGAATTTGAACTGCGGGGGTTCAGTTTGTGGATTTTCTTCCACCTCTGCCACACCTGAGACAGAAGACAAACCCCTTATCCTCTTTCTCCTCCTCAGCCTAATTCAACATGAAGATTGAAGACCTTCATAATGATCCACATCCACGTAATGACTAGGAAATACATTTTCTCTTCCTTATGATTTTTCTTAATGTTTTCTTTTCTTAGCTTACCTTATTGTAAGAATATGGTATATAATACATATAACATACACAACGTGTGTTAATTGACTGTGTTATCAGCAAGGCTTCTGGTCAATGGTAGGCTATTAGTAGCTAAGCTTTGGGGAAGTCAAAAGTTATGTGTGAATTTTCAACTGTGTGGAGAGTTGGCATCCCTAACCCCTGCATTGTTAAAGGTTAACTGTAGTTGGTATTTCCTGAGGGAAGTCTACCTGAATCACAAGACTATGAGTCCTGATGGCATCCCTGCTGTTTTGTTCCAGCAAATATGTCAATAATTTTTGGTTGAGACATGGTAAGTGGAATTGGCAGAGAGCAGTACCCCAGCTGTACAGTTAATTGCAGGCTCAAGGTCTGATGGAAGTTTAGTGAAAAATTATAGCACTTGCTAAGTTAATTTAACGTTAATCTCTCATACTTGAGTACTGGTCCTTCTTTTGATAAATAGCGTTGGACTTTAAGTTTTTGTCCAAGTAGACAACCCATCAGAAATTCCTTCCATCCATCCCAGACGTCCAAACGAAGTGTTGTGCCTGTGGATCAAGAGAAGTGGCTTATTGTTCCAGTCCAGCAGTATGGTTTGGCAATCCACAAAACTTGTAATGATAGCTTTCCCAAACAGAGGCCTGAGCTAGGTGCAAAACGAAAAATAACCTTGGAACAAGGAGACAGGGATATTTATCATAGATCTTTCTTTATTGGCTTGGAAAAACTGTTTAGCATCTGTGCATTACCATTTTCTCATCTGCTCAATGATTGTATATAGCACTGAAATATTTTTTTTGTAGCTATCTTTAAACAATCTTGTGGAAATTGATTCAGTGCTGCTGTCTACATTACCATGTTAACTAAAGCCATTATATTGGAAGAGGAAACTAAGGAACCTGTGGCAGGACAAACGGTCTTCTGGGGCCTTTAGCTTATGAGTGGGCTGTGAGGGAGTGGAATGATGCTCACCAACTAATTTGCTTGTTCTGTCCTTTATGAAACAGGAGCCAGGAGCTGTTCTCCGTTATAAACATAAAAATAATTCACTGCTGGTGAGCTTATCACTTGCTCCTCAAAAGTCTACCCTTTCAGTGATACCAAATCCCCTTTATCCTTCAGGCTGGTGTTTTCCAGGAATCTTTCCTCATGCCTTCTGCTCTTCTCACTCTACACACATTCCCCTGGAAATTAAACCTAGTCTTCTACTTAGGTGGTTCAACCTAGCTCTCTCACCTCTCTTCACTCTGCCTCATTCATTTATTACTTCCACCTTGACCTTTCACCTGTCCTCACAGCAAGTCTGCTCCCATCTCAGGACCTAATGACTTATAATTTTTTGCTTGAAAGAGTCTTCATCAGATGAGCAAGGAGGCTCATGCCTGTAATCCCAGCACTTTGGGAGGCCGAGGCAGGTGGATCATCTGAAGTCAGGTGTTCAAGACCAGCTGGCCAACATGATGAAACTCTGTCTCTACTAAAAATACAAAAAATTAGCTGGGCATGATGCTGGGCACTGTAATCTCAGTTACTTGGGAGCCCAAGGCAGGAGAATCACTTGAACCCAGGAGGCAGAGGTTGCAGTGAGCCGAGGTCGTACCATTGCACTCCAGCCTGGGCAACAAGAGTGAAACTCCGTCTCAAAAGAAAAAAAAGGTCTTCATCTAGATTTTCACAGCACTGGGTCCTTTTAATTTAGCTTTCCCTTCAACCATAGCTAAAGCAGTCTCTGCCATCACTACCTCCACCCCTTCATTACTTT